TTTTTATTTCTAGGAGAGAGAGAGAGAGACAGCATGAGCAGGGGAGGGTCAGAGAGAGAGGGAATCACAGACTCTGAAACAGGCTCCAGGCTCTGAGCTGGCAGTCAGCACAGAGCCCGGCGCGGGGCTCGAACCCACGAACTGCGAGATCATGACCCAAGCGAAAGTTGGACGCTTAACAGACTAAGCCACCCAGGCGCCCCGGGAAAGTCCTTCTTGTCCCACGAGGTACAGAGCCGGGTCGGGACCGATTGGGGGTTATGTGCCACTGTCCGTTTTGTTTGCAGCGCATACTCCCGAGTGGCTGGGGGGGTGTGATCCGATCAGCCCAGGCCCGGCTGCATGTGTAGACTCTGCCCCCTCAAGTGGGGCACCTGGGTCTCCTCCACAGGCCCCCTGACCAGCTCCACACACACTGTGTCCAGTGGCCCCGGCCTCCCCCTGGACCAGGGCCTCCGAACCAGGACAGAAGTGCCCCCGAGCAGCAGCGAGAATGGAGTCCTTTATCCTTTGTCCCGTGTGCTTCCCCGCAGCGCTGGGCCCGTGGCCGGGAAGGCGGGGCCGTGAGGGGCCGTTCACGGAGTCCTAGAGAGGAACGAAGTAGGGCCGGGGGAGGCAGGACCATAAAAGGGGGCATTGTGTGAACTGGCTTTGGACTCAGACTATTGGATTTGAGCACCGCTCTGCCGTGTGCGATGTCAAAATTTGGGGGAGTTTATGAACTGCATCTGGGACTCCGTTTCCCCACCAACAGAATGGAGCAGGCTTACGAGTATGATGCCAAGCGGGCTCGCTGTGGAAACAAGGCGGTACCGTATCTGCAGCAGCCATGTGGGGGGACCTGAGCAACGGTCCGGAGAACCTAGGCTGAGAGTGGGTGAACGCTGAGCTTCCTAGCAGCCAAGGGAAAAGGGAAATAGGATCCTAGGGCTCACCCAAAAGCAGGGAAGCGTATGAGGGATGAAGGGGGACTGAGTGCTGAGAGAGAAGAGGGTGGGAGGGGTGACACATAGCACCACCGGGGACAGTGATTTTCCTCTTGATCTGCCTCTGACACAGATGTGACCCTCCTGGGACCCAGCCACCCTGCAAGGACATAGCCTGGTCAGTGGAATGCAGGCTGGACCCTGCCCTCTGATATCTCGCCCGATGAAGGTACGAGCTCACTCGGGGCTGTCCTCCGACGTGAAGGGACGCCCTCAGGTTTCAGGGGGAAGGAAGGGCTGCAGGGATGTCCCCCAGGTCGCCCTGGCGTCACGGAGGGCTTTGGGCATGGGGTCTGGGTCTGCAGGATCTGAGCCGGCTCTGCCTGCCGCCTGTGAGCCGTGGCCCGCCCCTGTGTTCAGGTTGCTAACCCAGGAAAACCCCCTGCGGGCTTTAGCCCGGCGTCCGTCCTTCCTCGGTGGGTCAGCGGACACCCCATCCCTTCCTCCTCCCGGGGCGCAGTGTACACCTCTCGCCGGCTCTCCTCCGCAAGAGCCCGGGCCGCCCCTCTGCCCACCCCGGGACCGCTGCGAGTGTGAGCTGAGATGGACAGGCAGGGCTGTCGGCACCGAGCCTGGCCTGTCACCTGTCCCCGGCCGCGGTGACACCCCTGTGCAGGAGCGTAGAGACCCCCATCTCACGCACTCGCTGCGGCCGTGGTCACCTGGTGGTTGGTGGCAGTGATTGGCTCTCCGGCCCTGAGTGGCGCTGAGCCAGGGGAAAGGTGTCCCCCGGCAGTCAGGCAGGGACACCGGCCCCGGGCGCTGCTGGTCCCCTCAGGACCTGCCCTTCCCACCCCCCCCACCCAGGACTGCCTCCGCGTGCCTCCCGCGGGAGGTTTCGGGTTTGAACTGGACACGGCAAGCATGTCACCGGCCATCGAACGCAGGTGGTGAACGTCTCTATTTGGGCAGGTGAGTTGATTGGGGGTTTTGGGGGGCAGGGGGAGTAATTGAGGTGAAAGTTACAGAACACAAAACCAGCTTCAAGTGTGCGATAGTGTCAATCAGTGTTGTGTAAACCCCCCCCCACCTCGATCGACATAGTTTTTATCTCCGCGAAAAGAAACCGCACCCCCTCAGCGGTCGCTACCTCCTCCCTCTCCCCCAGCCCCACAGCCGCGCCTCTGCTTCCTGTCTCTACAGACTTGACTATTGCAGACATTCCGTAGCGAGGGGGACCACGCGCTCTATCCCTTTGTGACTTTCTTCCTTCACGCGGCCTCAGGTTTTCAAGGGCCAGTCATGGGGCGCGCAGATCGGTATTTCCTTCTTTGCGTCTCAATGATACTCCGTTGTGTAGACAGACCTCATTTTGTTTGATCCTTTAGCCACTGACGGACATTGTGGTGTCTTACCGTCTGGCGGTAGTGATTAAGCTGCTGTGGACACCAGTGCCCGAGCCTTTGCTTAAATGCACTTTTCAGTGTTTGGGGCACCGTGTCGGCCTGGAGCCAAGGCCCGGGTCCCACAGTAATTGTCTTTGACTGAGGTCTTCCTGTCCTGATCTGGCTCCTCCTCACTTGTGTGTGCCGTGTGGACCGGGGTTAGGGCCTGGATGGGGGCAGGCGGCTCTGGGTTTGGATCCAAGTGGTGCTGTTTGCTTGCTGTGTGACCCTTGGTGAGTTACTTGCCCTCTCTGTGTCTCCCCTGGGAACCTGCCACCCCCAGGATGGCACAGGCAGCATTGAGGACGACGGTGCCTGCGCGCCTGGCAGTGAAGGGTAAATTAAGTGGGAGCTCTGATACCTTTTAGGGTTGAAACGTGTTCTCAGAGCCCGCTCCCACCCGCTCAGCAGCAGGGCGGCTCTAAGAGCTTGTGGGCTGCAGTCAGCAGAGATGCCACAGCACGGGGGCCGAGCTCGGGCCGGCGGGTGTGACGTGCAGTGCAGTGTACCCAGCCCAGCTCCTGGGGTTCCTCAGTTGCACCGCAAAGAGCCTCACCCCCCTGAGAAAAATTTTTTTTTTTTTTTTAGTGTTTGAGAGAGGCAGAGACACAGAATCTGAAGCAGCTCCAGGCTCTGAGCTGTCAGCACAGAGCCCTGTGCTGGCCTCGAACTCACGAACTGTGAGATCGTGACCTGAGCCACAGTCGGATGCTTAACCGACTGAGCCCCCCGAGGCGCCCCTGAGAATATTTTTAAAACGGCTGAGCTAATGGGAGCAGCAGCCGCCGCGGGGCGCTTCTGAGGCTGCCCGCAGGCCCCGGTACGCACAGTCCTGCGGCCACGCAACTCCTGATCTTGCGAGCAGGGCGCTCGACAGACTATAAAGGGGCGGGGCTCTGAGAGCCGTGAAGCCCGCAGCTCGGAGCTGAGCCGCTGGGATTCAAACCCGCTGCTTACGCTTCCTCCAAGCCTAGGCCCCAGGCAGGCGCGGACAGGGCCTGCCCGGCCCAGCAGTGACGGCTCTAACCCCTTCCCCTGGCACAGGCTGGCTGCTCCGCGCACATCCGTGGCCCCCCAGGCCCGACCGACCCAGGGGTGCCCTGGCTTCTGGCCTTCCACATTGGGAGGGGGTCCACTGCTCTCTTTCTTGGAGACTTTTATGGAGGACGTGGCGGCCGCTCCCCCCAACAGGGACCGGAAAAGGGGGAGCGGGGCTTGAAACAAGGCCCGAGTCTAAGGCCCCGCGCTCCTGTCCACAGGTGCCGCCAGGGACTGACGGTGGCCAGAGCCGGCTGGCCTGTGGCCTCTAGCCCCCTGGGGCGTCCTGGCCCCAAACCTCTTTGGTTGCCTGGGGCCTGAGACCAGAGGTGTGGGCTGGAGGACCGGCCCCCGTGGAAGCTCTGATCACAGTGCTCTGTGCGTGTGGCCACCTGTCCGGGAGGGGACGGCTGTAAGCTCCGTGCGTGGTCTCTCCTCGACCCGTTTGTCTTCCCTTTGCTGGTTTTAGTCTGTACGCTTGTGTTGCTGGGCTCCGGGAGTCCTTGTGAAATCCTGAGCCATACGGTGATTCTTGGGGATGCCCCGAACTTTCTAACAGGCACAAGCTTGTCAAAATGCGTCCCTCAGACTTGTCAGCTCTAGCTTACAGGAAAGGAAACAGGCTTTGGGGGGGATTTGGTCCGGATTTAATGGTTAAGAAGGGGCCCCAGGCCTGCATCACCCCATCACCTAGAGGAAGCTGAAGAAAAACTCCGCACGCGGCTGTTCCCAACCAGAGTTTATTGGCGCCTGAGGGCCGAGCCCTGCCCGGCTCCTCGGGCTCTACTGGCCTGTGCGGCCCGGACAGAGGCCTAGGTTGGGCACTACAGGGTCTCGGCTCCTACCAGGGCGCGGAGGCAGTGGCCAATGGAGGGGAGGGTCGTGCGCAGCCACCGGGGGGGGGACGGTTCGGGGAGGCCGCCCTTGGGCTTCAGCAGGGCTCTGCCCATCAGGGCGGGGGTGTCTGGGGGGACGCCAGGGGCAGGGGGTTCTCCTTCACACAGCAGGGAACGTACATTCTTGTCTGGAAGTAGAGTGAAAAGACGGCGTGTATACCAAAGTCTCTAGAAAAGAGGGGGCGGGGGCAGGTTCCTCCGAAGGCCGCGGGAGGCGGTCAGTCACGGCCGGAGGTGCACCAGGCGGCTGCGGGGGGGGGGGGGGGGGGGGGGGGGGGGGGGGGGGGGGGAGGACAGACAGATGAGGCAGAGCAGGCACCTGGCCAGAAAGCACATCTCTTCCTCCAGCCTGTGGGGTCCAAGCCCAAGTGGGGGGAAGTACGAGTCTCGGGGGGGGGGTTGGGCTTCAGGGGGGCGCCCAGAGCCACTCTGAGGCTCCGCCCTCTCCCTTGGAAGCCCCGCCTTTCATCTCCAGCCATCCGTCTCCCTTCTCCAGGGCCTCCGGCACCCAGCTTCCGCCTACCTGGCACCAGGATCCTGGAGAGGGCCTCGGGCTGCCCCAGCGTGTCCACCTTCACGTGCCGGAACGCCTTGCACACGGGGCTCTGCAGGTGCCTGCCGGCCGGGGGGGAGGGGGGAGTGAGTGCTCGGGGGTGGGCTTCGCCCCCAGGCAGCCCCCCTTGGAGCACTGGGGTGATGGAAGGCTGGGCCTCAGGGAGGCTGACAGCGGGGGCCTGGGAGCAGCGAGTGGCGAGTTTGGGGGGCAGGCAGCCTGAGCCTTGGCTCCCAGGGCCAGCCCCGAACCCGGGTGCAGAGCCCGGCTGGGGGGCTGGGTGGGGGGCCCACACTCACCTCTGCCACTCCTCCTCCGTCTCCCAGAACTCATAGACCACGAAGGTGAAGCCATCCGCCAGCCTCACTGCCGCGACGCTGGGAGGGGAGAGGCTCCAGGTAGAGGGCCAGCCTCCTCTGCACGCCCCCCAAGGCAGATGCCCCCCCCCCACGCCTAGCGGAGGTGGGAGGGGCCCCCAGCACCTGTCGCCAGGCTGGCCCAGAAGGTGGCCAAGAAATACTCCCTGAACGAACTACAATGAAAAGGACACTTGAAAAGGTTCTATTGTCACCTAAAAATCCCACCTTTAAAAAATAAAAGCACCTTCCTTCTGCCGCGCTCTCCCCGTAACGGTTTCAATTAATCCTTAAAACGCTGGGACCTGGAATTGACCCAACAATCGTGGGCGGGAGGCCGGGCCCTGGGGCAGTGGCCCCGCAGGCCAGCCTCCAGGGTCCCGTCCTCTCGAGCCTGGCCCGACCCCCGCAGAACATGGCCCCAGAGGAAGGGGGGGCAGTCGCCCTGTAATTACAGCCAATTCCACGGTTCACCGCACAGGACAGAAGCCGGGCCCCAAAGCTGCTCTGAGCATCGAGCGTCACTAGGCTCCAGCCTCCAGTTACACCTGGAGCTGGGGGGCGGGGGGCTCACGCTCCCCGGGCACGTACACGTCACCTGCCAGTCAGACACAACCCCGTCACCCAGGGCCCTTCGTGCTGCTAGACCAAGGTCACCGGGGCAACTGGGTTCGTCTGCATTTGGTTACCATGGGGCCTGCATTTGGCCGAGAGCACACTGAAGGCTGTGGGGGTGCGACCGTGGACGGGGGGGGGGGGGGCAGAGATGACACTCCTTCCAGACACAGGCACGAAGCCCCTCTGCGTCCCACCTGCTCCCCCTCCCCTGCACCTCAGCACCTCGCCTGCTGTCTTGATGTGAACGCGGCCCAGAAGGGCCGGCACGGCGCCCCCACCCCCACACCCCACCTCCTCGCCCGGCGCACAGCAGCAGCCTGTCGGGTTTCTGAAGCCAGAGAACCGCCCCCTCCCCCTTCCTCCCTGCCACCAGCCCGGCCCATCAGCTCGGCTCCAAAACCCACGCGGCGCGAGGCCCTAGGCGTCTGCTAGCCCTGCTGCACCCCGTCCCCACTCACCCCTTAGTCACACAAAGGAGACCTGACCGGGTCTGCCTTCCGCTCAAGCATCACCGACGCGGTCCCTGCCCCGCCACGCCGGGTGCCTGCTTTGTCCCCACACCCAGTTCTGCGGACAGGGCTGCCCCGCACCCCGGCCTCACGCACGAGCAGCCCCTCTCTCCAGGACCCTGCCTCCGGCCCGTACAGCACCACGGCCCCCGGAACCTTCTCCGCCCCCTGCCCTTTCCTTCAGCAGGAACAGGGCGAAGGCTCGTGGGCTCTGGAGGCGGAGGAAGGGGTACGGGAGAGCGAGGCTGCAGGCAGGGACCCGAGGCTACAGCCGCCGACCCGTGGCGGTGAGACACGGAGGGGCGACAGCCCGGGGCTTGGGCCCACAGCCCTCTGGGACAGCCACCAGCAAGGGGGAGGGGCCGCAAGCACACCCAGGACGGGAACACCAGCAGCTCGCACGCGGCCCAAGCCCGGCCGCTCACTATTCCGTCTGCACCCTCCCCACCCCTGCTTCCAGGCCCTGCTGGGCAGATGAGGAAGCTCAAGTCAGGGAGTCCCGGCCCTGTGTGCGCAGTGGAGTAAAGCCTGACCCTGACCCTCCCGGGGGGGGGGGGGGGGGTGCCGAGGCTGGCCCAGCCCTCCGCCCGCCCGCCCCTGCCCTGCCCTGCCCCTCGGCTCACTCACTGTAAGCAGGTCCTGGCGCCCGCGGTGCCACGCAGGTACTGTCGCAGGGCGTCCACGAACTCACTCAGCTGCTCGGGGCACACGGCCATCTCCTGCCGGACCAGCTGCAGGTGCTGTGGGGCCACAGGGCAGTGAGTGCCCGGCCACCCCCCTCCCTGCCCCGCGGCCACAGCCCAAGACCCAGCCTCCCCAGACCTTCCTTCAGAGAGGACGAGCCAATTCAGCCAAAACATAGCCCCCAAACCTGCGCTCACACAGGGTTCATGCTTACCCACGACAAGTAGCTAAAAAGAACAAAGACCCAGCTGCCGCCCCAGGCAGGACACCGGCCAAGGGTGTTTACAGAGGCCCCGGGGCCATCGGGAGCTGCCCCCGGGGCTCTGGTCAGAGACACAACAAAGCCAGTGCCGAGCAAGTTTCACTTCCAGGGTGTTTTGGGGTCACCGTCCCAATCACTTCGCCCTGGGCCAAGCTGTTCTTGGTTAAAGAACACCCCCGGCCAGAGGCGGCCAGGTACTAGGGCTGCGTCTCCCTTCGCGGGGGTCCCAGAGTGGGGGGTCAAGGACACGGAAGTCCGTCCTGGCTCGGGCAGGAAGGGAGCAGGCCTCACCATGTTGGTGCCTTCCTCGTCCGACAGGCGCTGCTGAAGGTCAAACCAAAGGGTCTGAAGCAACAAAGCACAAAGACGTGTTGGAGACAGAGGCCACCTCCCCCGGGGAGGCCTCCAGTACTACCACAGTGAGACCGAAGTGTCCAGAGCCAGCAAAGAGCTCCAGCCTCTGCACCCCAAGGCCGCTGGGAGCTCCCCAGGGCCAAGCCTCCCTGGAGTCTCTCCTCCGCACACAGGGCTGGCTCCCAGGGAAGCTGGGAGCCCGGCTGGGAAACGGACCAGAGGAAGCGGCAGAGATCCCTTCTGGCCCTGGCATCTGGGAGGCACAGAAGCACCCAGATCAGCACAGAGGGCAGCTGCCAGGGGTGGGTAGTCTTCCTACAGGACACTTCTGAATCCAGGATGCTGGATTTTTGCCGCGACTGCCGGCGACAGCCCGACGATCCCCGTCAACTTGCCAGTCACCCGTGCCCAGACCCCCGGGGGCCTCGTGAACCTGGTAACGGCCTGCACGGGGTGGTTTGTGACCCCCGGCCTCCCGCAGGCCTCAAGCTAAATGCTTCACAGATTCGTCCTGTTGGACCACCCAGCCTCCTGATGTGGGCGCAGGAACCCGGTGCCAGTGACCGCTGGTCACAAGCCCATGCGGGGCCTAGGACGCAGCACCTGATGGGTGCGCAGCAGAGTCACAGCACAGGGCCCTGGGCTCCAAAGGCCTCAGAAGCTGGCTGCGCGCTGGAGCCGGGGTCTGCAGCCAGGGCCTCTCACCCCCCCACGAACCACAAAAACCGTGACTCTTCGGCAACTCGGGCACCCCAGTGAAAGCCACCTTTTCGTGGATCCCTGTCCTCCATGTGGACAGCCTGTGTCTCCAGCACAGTCACAGACCCCGACAGACCCCGGTTTTTGCCCGGTGGTGTAGAGATGGCACATCAGCGGGTTAAGGAAAACAGCGGTAATCGGGCACGTGACCAGTGCAGTCACCACCCCAAAAATGAAGGAGTCCTGCCTGCATGACCCAAGCTGGCCCGCATCGTTTCTGCAGCCAGTCCTGCACAAAGTCCCGACTTCTCAGGAGCAGGGGGCTGGAACGAACTTTCTAGGTGGCCAAGCCAGGACCCCCCACCCCCAGGGTCAAGTCTGTTTCCCTCATTTTCCAACCGTCCAGGTGGGCTCCTGGGGGCAGGGTCTGCAAGTGGTTCCTTTGGCTTCTCCCAGACAGCAGGGCCGCGGAGGGTGAGGAGGGGGAGGGGCAGAGGCACCCACGCCGGCCCCGCCCCCTCCCTGCCTCACGCCCCATCAGCTCCATCAGCACCACCCGGCAGAGCCTGCAGCCTCAGGTTGGCACCAGGAGGGCGGGGCCCGCTGCCGGCCCCGGATTGGCCCCCGCCGGCGGCCCGGACCAATCAGAGGCCAGCAAGCGGGGCCCCGCCCTGTCTCCAGGACACCCAGGTGCTCCGCGGTCTCCAGCCAGCTGGTTGTTAAGACGACGGGATGCTAAAAATAACCATCAAAGAACCTCCCTCTGGAGGCGCTGGGAGTTGTTATGACAACCGGGCCTCAGGGTCCCGCGGAGCCCTGCCCACCGCTCCCACTCAGCTGCTGGAGGGGGATCCCACCTCCGCCTCAGCCCAGCTACTGGGGCCACCACCTCCCCCGCCCCAACCCCCGTCTCCTCGCCAAGGCTGGCCTCGGTCTCCCTCTGCGTGGGGGAGCCCCCCGCCCCGCCCCCATGAATCCACGAGAAACCCCAAGCCCATCCAACTGCTTTTCTGCCCTTTTGCAAAAGATGTAAAAATATCAGAAAAGTAGGAGAAATGTAAAGTCGCCCAGCCGTTCAGCTCTGAGGCGCCCGCTGGCCTGGTTTATGGAGGTGAACGGTCCGGTGCGTGTTCAGATTCGGTACCAGAGTATCCGGTAAGGATGCTGAACAACTGCTAATATTCTAGTGCTCGGGACACCGCAGGCTCTGGGCTAAGCCGTTAAGGCTTCATTTTCCTGGGGCGCCGGGTGGCTCGGTGGGTTCAACGTCTGACTTCTGCTCAGGTCATGATCTCATGGTTTGGGGGTTCGAGCCCCAAGGTGCACTCTGTGCTGACAGCTCAGAGCCGGAAACCTGCTTCAAGTTCTGTGTCTCCCTCTCTCTCTGCCCCTCCCCCGCTCTCACTCCCTCAAAAATAAAATATTAAAAAAAAAACACACGTTTTCTTTAATCCTCACAACCACTGCATGAGGAGTACTATTCTGAACATTTTCTCTGGTTAGAGCAGGAGTCTGAGGCTCAGAGAGGGCAAGCCACTGGCCCAAGGTCACCAAGCTGCCAAGTGGTTTAACCAGGATTTAAACACGCGCGGTCTGATACCTGAGCCCAGTGGTAAACCTTAAGGCAACCTGTTATCTTTCTTCCAACAAATGGTCATTGTCTGGGCTGAACTGTGTCCTCTCCAAAATCGTAAGTTCAAGGCCCCCACCCCAGCACCTGAGGATGTGACTCTGCTTGGAAATAGGGCCTGTGAAGAGGTCATTAAGATGAGGTCATGTCGGGGCGCCTGGGTGGCTCAGTCGGTTGGGCGTCCGACTTTCGCTTGGGTCATGATCTCGCGGTTCGTGGGTTCGGGCCCCGCGTCGGGCTCTGTGCTGACTGCCAGTTCAGAGCCTGGAGCCTGCTTCAGTCTGTGACTCCCTCTCTCTCTGACCCTCCCCTGCTCACGCTGTCTCTCTCTCTCTCTCTCTCCTAAAAATAAATAAAACATTTAAAAAATAAATAAATAAAAAGATGAGGTCATGTGGGTGGGCGCGACCTTGACCGTGTCCTTAAAGGAGAGGAGGACACAGGGAGGGGGTGGCTGTCCTCACGCCCAGGAGAAGGCAGTCCTACCCCCAGCCTGATCTCAGACTTCTAGGCTCAGACGGTGACAGAAGAACAGAAGAAATGGCCGTGTTCTGAGCTCTGCCTGTGCTACGTGGTTACGGCCGCCCGGGGAGATGAGTGGGGTCATGGGCGCGGGGGGGGGGGGGGACCTGCCAAGTCATGAGACGTTCCCTGAAGACCGGATTCCATAGACACTGTGCCGTTTTCTACAACCCGCAGACGCGCCGAGTCACAGGAGAGACTGCATGACAGCCGCCTCATTCAGGAGGTCTCTAACCTCTCCTGGGCCGCCGTCCCTCACCCACCACCGCGCCACCTCCGGGCACCGCCTCCCAGGCCAGGCCTGCCCGAGAGCAAAGGCACAAGGAGCCCTGTCCCCTCCCCCTTGCCCCGGGCGCCTCTCCTCGGATAGGTACCAGGGACATCTTGTCCTTAGTCGTGGCCGCCAGGCTCTGTCGGGACGCGGGGGCCGACCCTGCACCCGCGGGGGCAGCGGAGAGGCGTGTGGGCTCCGCGGGCTTATTACCTTGTTCTCCAGCCGCCCCACCAGCTCTGCCAAGCGGCTGATCTGGGCTTCCAGGCCCTCCTCCTTGGGGTCCGCAGGGACTAGGAGAAAGGAACAGAGATGCTAATGGGGGGGGGCGGAGGGGGGAGGGGGAGGGCCCCCACTACCCGGTCCCAGTCCAGGCTGCATCCAGGCCACTGTGAGAACTCTTCAAGGACCCCCCGCCCCCCAGGGCTCCCCACCCCAGGCCGCCACTCTCACCGGGCGGAAGACTCTTCCCGTGTTCTGCGGCCCCCAGCTTGTGGTTGGGGGCATGGGGGGGCGCGGGGCTTCCACACCAGGCCTCCACTGCGCCATGGCCGGGTTTGTCGTGGTTCTGTCTGCTGCGGTGTGAGGGGACGAGACACGCACTGTGAGCGAGGCCGCAGGGCCCTGGCCACAAGCCCAGACGTGTGCACTTGACCCGGTCTAGCCCTGCTCCTGTGAGGCACGCGTCATGGCCTGTTTCCCGGTGGCGGCGCCGGGGCCAGGGCAGTCGGGACCCGGACTTCACTACATTCTAGGACCACACAGCCCGGGCCCCGTCCCCGGGAGCTTCGGTTCCAGGGCTGGGGCGACACTGAGCCAGGCCCCCACCCCGCTGCCTAACTCACACACCCCCTCCTCCTCCTCCCCGTGGGGTGGGGGGAGCCCCCGTCTGTGCCCACCAAACAACCTGCCTCTCCACAAAACGGTGCCCTAGATATGGTCCAGAGAGCCCGGGACAGGACAGACACATCTGTGACCCTGACCTCAGCGGGCCCCAGAGAGAAGGGCCAGGCCCCGCCCCTGTCCCTGTGCGCTGCCCCCAGGCACACCGGTGTGCACGCAGGTGCTGGGCCCCGGCACACGCCCTGCCGGTGCCTGGCACCACAGAGGGGGGGGTCTGTCACCGCTCGGTGAATTCCCAGCCACCGTGCACCCCGAGATGCTGGAAAACTCGCCGCAGACACGGATACACCCAGTCACGCAGCAAACACGCCCTGTGCCCAGCCCCCTTCTGCCCCTTGGTGCATTCTGGAATTTGTCCCCTGTGAACCTGAAAACTCAACAAGCCCCTCCTCTGTGCGGCGGGGCCACTCCAGCCTTCTGGAAGGGGGAGAGGGCATGGAGTCTTTGGGGTGTCAATCCTGATGCCCCACAAACCAGCAGCAAATTGTGTGGAGGGAGGTCTCCCCACAATGGGCAGCAGGGCTCTGAACCAGTGGCTCACGCCTGGACGGGGTGGCCTAAGGGGACTTGCAGCCCAGAGCCTAAAGAGCTGGGATTTGAGGCACTGTGGGGTTGGAGTGTGTGTAGGGAGGGGTCTCCCCATTGTGACCTGCCCCCCCCCCCCCCCCGCACAGGGGCGGGCGGGCGTAACCGCTGACACACGACGGAGCTGGCGCTGCGCAGGAGAGCAGCGACAACTGTGCAGGGGCCTATCTGATCTACAGCAGGTGAAAACGGTTTTAATCATGACAGGGACCACGACGCTGAAGGAAATCGCTAAGCGTCAGCTTCCAGAGCTGCGGCCGTCCACAGCGGGGGCCTCAGAACCACAGGGCCCAGCACGGATGCAGAGTTCGGGGCTCACCTTGCCCAAGGTCACCCAGTCCCCAAGCACACGGACGGCCGCAGCAAGCAGCAGGTTGCCGTGTGAGTGTGTGCGCGCGTGGCACATCCCCAGATGACCCTGCGAGGTCCCAGTGACACACCGGATGTGGCTGGTCTGCTCCTCAATGGCCTCCACCGCACTCTCCACGGAGCTCAGCAGCGACTGGATCTGATTGGCCGTCTCCTTCAGGAGAAAGCGGGTCACAAACTGGTCCACATGGCTCCCGCCCTCGTACACCTGTGGGGGGAAGAAAGGGGCCCACGTGGGAAAGGGAGGACAGAGGGAACTTAGGTGTGGCATCTGGCACAGAGCTGCGGGGGTGGGGTCTCTGCTTTGCAGGAAGAAACGGGGACCCCGGTGCCTCCTTCAACTTGGAAAATGTAGAGCCTCCGCGTCAGGGAAGGGGCCATGGATTCAAAGATGGAGGACTGAGCCCTGGCTTCCCCACGTACTAGTTCCTGACCTCTACGACCACGACAGGGTCCCGCCACTGAACGAGGAAACGCACACAAAACGCTCGGCACAGTGCGTGTAACACAGCAAATACTCAGTGAGCGGCAGCTGCTATGGTGAAGGCGCTGGTGTTAATACTCGTGATTGGGGTGATCGTGACACTGGAGACGACAGGAGATGGCGGTCGTGGCGGTGGTGATGAGGCAGTGGTGACGGGTATGAAGATGGCGGCAGAGATGAGGATGGTGGTGAAGCTGACGAGGGGAGAGGCGACGGGGACGCTCACTGGTGGTGGTGAACTTGATGTTCTTGTCGACAGGGAGGAAGCAGGAAAGAAGACGACATGGCCCCACCCCTCCTTCCTCCAAGGAGGATCCTTGGCCTCTTGAACCTTCACGATGCTACTCAGAGAAATGAAAGGAAACTCCAAAGCAAGCAACTGGAGAGGTTCAGCTGGCTTCTCCCAAGAAAGAGCCAGAGACTCCGCCTCAGGAGGAGGGGTCAGCGGGGGGGGGGGGCGCGGGGGGAACCAAGAGAGGAAGATTCAGAGGCCACGAGGAGACGAGCTCTAGGGAAAAAGCAGGAAGGGGGGGTTCCACCGATTGTGCTCTGTGGTGTGAGGCTCTCCCCTTCTGTCAAGAGCAAAGCCCTTCCTCCCAGCTTCTGGGCCCGCGGAGGCGGCTTTGTGGCACAAATGAGGTTCCGGCTTAGCCAGGTCACTCAAGGATGATAAGGATCAAAATGGCACTGTGTTGGGGCTCCAGTCTGGAAACCTGTGCAGGTCTTCCGCCCCCTCTGCCAAGACCCCGCCCTCCGTAGCCAACTGCCCAGCACCTTGGAAATCTTCCCCAGGCCCGGGCCCGGCAAGGCAAACAGGGCTCTCAAGGAAAGCAAATTAAACCATCCATCACTCTGACTGGGAATTAATTAGCGACGGTGCACAAGGGAAACACGGCTGGAGACAGACCGGGAAACAGAGGCAGGGGCAGGGAGCATGGGGAGGCGAGGCGCACACACACAGGGAGGTGTGGAGGTGGCCGTCCTGAGCCGACACCGGAGACTGCGTCCCGGCAGACAATGAATCGGTGGCAGAGAGTGGATACGGTTTTGCTCTCCTAATGCATTTCGGTTATTGATTATCCTCGCTAGCTAATGGCTGAAACCACACTTGGTCTAGTGATCAATGGGCTCTGGATAAATGAACGGCCAAAACGAACAAGAAGATGTAATGTGGTAAGAAATGTAAATGCAAAGAGATAGCCTGCTAGGAGCCATCAAGTAGAAAAATGAGCTGAAGTGTGTTAAAAGCCCTCAGATCGGTGACTGAGGGGCCGCCACAGATCCAGGAGTGTAACCCGTTAGCTCAATTCCAAAAAGACAAGGGACTTTCAAAGGAATAAAAATGCAGGGGTGCCTGGCTGGCTCACTTGGTTGAGCATTCGACTCTTGATCTCGGCTCAGGTCACGATCTCAGGGTCATGAGATCAAGCCCCGTGTGGGGCTCTGCACTGAGTGGAGAACCTGCTTGGGATTCTCTCTCCCCCTCCCTCTGTCCCTCCCCCACTCATGTGTGCATGCGCACCCACACACGCACGCTCTCTAAATAAAAACATTTTTTTTTTATTTTAAGGAGTAAAAATGCAGCTTTTACAGATTTCACCTCCACCGCAATCAATGCATCCCGCATCCAAGAAACCAATTCCTCCAATTCCAGAGGAAAAGGAGGAGATCTGGGAACTGTGTGTGGTGTAGATGCAAGACTCGTCTTCAGGGTAACAGGGAGATCTTCAGAAATCCGCAAATCTCTGACCCGTTGCCACGTGAGCACCTTTCCAGCAAAGAGTGCCTAGGAATCTCCCCCCACATATCCAGGGCTGAGTCAAAGAAAGCACTCTGGAAGCGGGAAGTCGTGTGAGGAAGTGGCGGTGACGGCGCCCATTCGATGTAAGATTCCGGGGGTCGGGAGATGAACACACTCGCTGATGATAGTTAAATTTCAGTCACATTGGATTATGTCAATAAAGGGTGTAAAAGTATGGGAAACACATCTGAAACTCTCAAAAAACTCCTTTAGCTCCTCTAAAAGGGAATAGGAGTTCCCTGTTAACTAGGGACAAAAACACAATTAAGAACATTCACAGTGCCAGGGCGCCTGGGGGCTCAGTGGAGCATCCGACTTTGGCTCAAGTCATGATCTCACAATTCAGGAGTTTGAGCCCCAGGTCAGGCTCTCTGCTCTCAGCACAGAGCCTGCCTCAGATCCTCTCCCCCACCCCCCTTACTTGCATGCTCTCTAGAAAAAACAAACACTAAAATAAAAAAAAGAAAGAACGTTCACAGTGCCTGTTGCAGAGGTTGCCCGTGAAATGAAAGCTACAGTGTCTCCCTAGGAAACCACAATCGATGCTATAAACAAAGCGGTCCGTCAAAAGGTAAAATGTCAAAGGGATAGGGAAGCACACAAAATGGGAAGAATAAAATATTATGAGAGCAGCTGGAGCAGAGAGATTACTACAATAATGGAAAGCTGCCTCAATTCCCTCATGTAAAGACAAGTCCCAGATTTGATGATGAAATGAGGTCCGAATGGGGCACATCTAAACCAAAACAGCATCGAGTGATTGACAAAGAAAAGTCTGGGCAAAAATGCTACCACCAGACGTGGTTAAGTGAAGAGGACAAGCTGCGGTATCACTAGAAGATGGGATTTAGAGAACACGGTATCGCAGGAGGTAAGAGGGGTCACAGTGCAATGGCAAAAGACATCGTGCACACCACGCGCAGATGTTACCGGACCATCACGCAATAGGAGAGGATAGTGCTATAAACACGGCATTCAGATGGACACACTTTATAAAGCAATTTTGCTCTATCTCCAGAGCCCCGCACTGTTGCCGACTAGGAGTCTCTTGTCCAGGAAGAGAGCACACACAGGATTGAATACAAGAGAGACTAAAGTCCAGGAGGAGACCAGAGTCCTGAACAGGGGTTTCGTCTCTGTGTTTTCTGAGTGCTCAAGATCTTACACACGTGGTGAACGTGGAGAACACAATCAGACGGTAATCGTTAACTTGTGTGATTAAGGAGCAAAAGGTGGGGGGGCAAATGGTGTTCGTGATTAAGGTACATTAGCGTCAGATGGAAAGTAATTTCCCACAGGAGATGTAACAAGTTACTCGTGATCTGGTTACACTGTCTCGCTAACTAACCTCGAGTGGTTTAGCCCAGTGGTGGCGGCTTTCTGCCCTAAGCCTTTTTCTAACCATTTATGTAAACAGAGCGTATCTCCCCACATTGCACGGCTCCTATTCTTTGACTCAGTTGTTCGATCTATGATAGTCTATCCCTAAGAAATCATGCGAAGTGTGCACAAATGTTCACGTCCCAAGGTTACAGTGTTATTCATAATAGCAAAACGCTGGTAATCATCTACTATGGCCCCAAACAGAGGAAAAGTAAATTTAAGTAAGAGTATTTAAAAAGATGCTTCTGGACAGGTTTAATAACATAGGAAAAGTGTTTGTTAAAATATTAGGTGAAAAAACACAAAGAATAAGTTTTGTACGCAGGACAATATTAGATATATTCAAGAAATACAGATGGGAAGAAAGGCTCCGAGGTAAGAAACTAGCATGTCGAATAACAGTGGTGAGCAACAGTGGGAATTACAAATGGTTTGAAATTTTTCCTTATACTTTTCTCTCTTTCCTAAATTTTGCAAGTTGAATACGTAACATTTATGATAAAAACATAACAAAAGTCTATAGGCATCAAACAACATGGCTAAGATCTAGTAAGGAAAACCATTAACAATACAGAGATTAGATAATTTGATGTGACAAATCAGTTCCTCATTGTCCCATAGGGGAGATAACTGGACAATAACAAATAGGGATGCATGAGCATCGTTAGGGGCGCCTGGGTGGCTCCGTCGTTTTGAGCATCCGACTTGACGTGGGTCGTGATCTCTCGGTGTGTGAGCCTGAGGTTGTGAGCGCAGAGCCTGCTTGGGATTCTTTCTCTGGCTCTCCCTTGCACGTGTGCTCCCTCTCAAAAATAAATAAAACACAGGGGTGCCTGGATGGCTCAGTCAGTTAAGTGTCTGACTTCGGCTCAGGTCATGGTCTCATGGTTCGTGGGTTCGAGCCCCGTGTCGGGCTCTGTGCTGACAGCTCAGAGCCTGGAGCTTGTTTCAGATCCTGTTTCCCTCTCTCTCTGACCCTCCCCTGCTCACGTGCTCACTCGCTTGCTCTCTCAAAAATAAATGAAAAAAATAAAAAAATAAAACATTAAAGAAAGCATTTTAGGCAAAAGTGAAAGTCTTTTTTTTTTTAATTTGTAAATTTTTTTTAATGTTTATTTTTGAGAGAGACAGAGCGTGAGCAGGGGAGGAGGGGCAGAGAGAGAGAGAGAGAGAGAGGGAGACACAGAATCTGAAACAGGCTCCAGGCTCTGAGCTGTCAGCACAGAGCCCGACACAGGGCTGAACTTGGGAACAGGGAGATAATGACCTAGGCTGAAATTGGATGCTTGGCTGACTGAGCCACCTAAACGCTCCAAAAGTTTATTTATTTGGGACAGAGAAAGCATGAGTGGGGGGCAGACGCGGAGAGCGTGAGAGCCCCAAGCAGGCTCTGCACCGACAGCACAGAAGCTGACACGGGGCTTGAACCCACAGATTGTGAGATCACGATCTGAGCCGAGGTTGGATGCTCTACCGACGGAGCCACCCAAGCGCCCTGGTATAAAAGTCTTTAAAATGGACGAGAGATTACCAGGTCTCC